AAAATCTAATGATATCCTCAATTGTCCTTATTTGAAACAAGATTCAAAATTCAGGGTCAAATATATCACAATTGAAAAGTTAAGGATCAAAGTGACACAAGTCCCAACTATAGGGACTATTAGTGTAATTCACCCTAAATTTTATAAGTTTAACATAATTATATTGAGTTTTCTTAAAATTTTAATTTGCTTACACTAACCCTCTTTTCATCAATAATTTGTTACTTTTATGAATGAAAAAAAATAGTATTGTTATTTTTTTCTCACTAAAATGTATATTTTTTCATGTTAATGTTTGTGACTTCATATCATCTATAGACTACATTAGTTCCACTCTCTTCAACATAATTAAAAAGGAGGCATGTATAATTATGTCGAAATTATGAGACTAGGGTAAGTTACCCTTTTTAAATATATATATATATATATAAAATAAATAAATAAAAGAGTGACTCTTCTTCTTCAAAACTATTTTCGCATAAAAATAGAACAAAATCACAACCAAACATGTCTTGCTCTAAAAGTGAGATTCTAATGGCCACATTATTTTTTAAACTGAATGTTGTAATGATTTCTGTGTTGTGTTTTGATCTCTGATCTCTCTGATGAGTTTTAGAAATATATAATACAGTATGAAGCTAGGATAACTAGTCATGACCAAAATCATAATAATTCAAGAATATGAGAATCAATGCGCTACACATAAAACTTACTTTTCAATGTTTAACGTAAAAATAAATAAATATCTAAAAGATTTATCAATTTTACATAATTTTATTTTTAGTGAGTAAAAATAATTTTTAAAAATTCAAAAATATTTTTTTGACATTTATTTTTGTCAAGTTAGTTTATATTTTATCAAATTGATGATTTTACCCTTGAAAAATCTAATGATATCCTCAATTGTCCTTATTTGAAACAAGATTCAAAATTCAGGATCAAATATATCACAATTGAAAAGTTAAGAACCAAAGTGACACAAGTCCCAACTATAGGGACTATTAGTATAATTCACCCTAAATTTTATAAGTTTAACATAATTATATTGAGTTTTCTTAAAATTTTAATTTATATAACACTTGACCATTTTCATCATAAATTCATTAGTTGCATGAATAAAAAAATAATATTGTTATCTCTTTTATATTAAAATATATATTGTACATTGTATATCGTTGTGTCTTTATGCAATATGTATAGGCTTTTGTCCCTATAACCTCTTACCAGGAGGGAGGTCAATGTAATTATATTAAATTATAAATTTTTTTCTATTTTCTCCAAATTTTAAAAGAAATGAGTGTAATTTACCCGTTGTATTTTATTTTTAATTTTTTCACTCGTATAGAAATTATCTAACACAATCCTTCTGTTCGATTATATAATTGATTTTTGTTTTTTCTATGTTTATTTTAATCTATTTTTAAATTTTTTGGTATGTACCACTTAATACACAATTTGGGCTTGTGGGCACATCGGGCATTTTATCTGATGATCTGATATGTTTATTTTTTATGTCGCTATGAGTTGATCATTCATAAAAAAATTAAAAATTGATCAAATAAAGCCTTCGTTTGGATGTGAGTTAGGTTTTTGGCCTGGGGTAAAAAAGTCTAGTTTGGGATAAACTTTTTGACTTTTTTACTTTTAAAAGAGAGAAAATAAAATAATTATGGTTTGAATATGACATTTTGTCATATTTAACTAAAATAGTCAATTTTATCCCATATAATTATTTTAGCCCAAATAGGCATACTAAACATAGCAAAAGAATACATCAAAACCAAATAGAACGAATATATATTTTTTAATTACTAAAAAATATTCTGTACGTTTGTATTTATATATGTACAAGTTTATGTTTATGTATATATTAAACACAATACGTATCCGTATACCTACTACCTAGCAAAACAGAACTCTGCAATGCCTCAGCCTATATCTGTGAATTATGTTAATTTCAGTTGTAACTCCCCTCACGGCTAACCTAACAAACTTTAATATTTTTTAAATAATAATATGCACCTAGAAATTCAGATTATTTACTAATCTCCTTTTTTATTTTATGCTATCTAGGAGTTAAAGTTTATTTTTTGGCAAAAAATAGGTATGTTTAAATAATCCAAAGTTTTTTTTAACAAATGATTTTTTTAAACTAATAATTTAATTTTTAAGAAATTGCCAAATAAAATGCATGTTTAAATTTCAAAATACAAAAGGGTAAATTATAAATGCACTCCCTGAGATTTGTTTAAAATACGAATTGTCTCATGTAGTTTGAAAAATTACAAATACCTCCCTGTTAGAATTTTTTATTTAACAAAATTAATTGAAAAAGTGAAATTTCTAACTGTTCACCTATATAATAATAAAATTATCTGAATTATTAATTAAAATAAAATTTTAACATTATTAAGAATTATTAATTAACTTGATGATTTATTAATAAAAGGACTTATTTGTTAAGGGACATAATGTAATTTTTAGAATCACAAAAGATAATTTATAATTTAAGTAAATATCAAAAAATATATTTGTAATTTATCTAATGCAAAAAATATCAAAGGACTAGTGTGTGATTGAAAAATATCATACTCGTAACGTTAATTTGGATCCCGACTACTCACGATTGCTCATATAAAATAAAAAATTTGAAATCCCTCCTTTTCACTTTTGGAAAAATAAGTCTCGTTAAAAAAATAATTTTGTTAGCAAGTGTCTTAAAATAAGGGTAGAAATGTTCATAAAATACTTTAAATATGAGAATTAAGATTTGGTAGATCAAATGTCTAAATAATATGACTTATTGAAATATAAAAATATCTTATGTACTAATTAAAAGATAAATACTTAAAAAATGATTTTTTAATAAATCTCCCAAAATAAAAATAAAAAATATATATATTTATTTCTAATTTTTAGATAATCATTTTTTTTGGGGATAAATTACAAATGTATCCCTTGAGATTTGCTTAAAATACGAATTGTCCCTTGTGATTTGAAAAATTACAAATACCTTCTTGTTAGAATTTTTTATTTAACAAAAATTAATTGAAAAAGTAAAATTTCTAACTATTCACTTATATAATAATAAAATTATCTAAATTATTAATTGAAATAAAATTTTAACATTATTAAGAATTATTAATTAACTTGATGATTTATTAATAAAAGGACTTATTTGTTAAGGGGCATAATGTAATTTTTAAAATCACAAAAGATAATTTATAATTTAAGTAAATATCAAACAAATATATTTGTAATTTATCTAATACAAAAAATATCAAAGCACTAGTGTGTGATTGAAAAATATCATACCCGTAACGTTAATTTGGATCCCGACTACTCACGATTGCTCATATAAAATAAAAAATTTGAAATCCCTCCTTTTCACTTTTGGAAAAATAAGTCTCACTATAAAAATAATTTTGTTAGCAAGTGTCTTAAAACACAAGTGTAAAAGACGAAAATTGAAGAATACGATACATTTTTTACTAAACTTATTGTAAGTTTATTGAAATCTAATATATTTTTTTAATATTTTTACATATTTTTAAAATACTTTTCACACATTTTTGAACATTAAATAATATTTAGAAAGCACTTATTAACATTTTGCTTTATAAAAAAATAAAAACAATTAGTGTATTTGGTTTCAATTTTTTAAAAATTGAATTTTTATTTTTATTTTTATTTTTATTTTTAAAATTTTAAGTAATTTTTTTTTTACTTTTTTAAATATACCTTACATAGATCTATCTAAAAAATAAAATATTTGTGAAAAAATATTTTAAAATTTTAATAAATAGACAAAATACAAAAATATACTAAATATTAGTAATTTTTTTATATTTTTGGTATTTAGTAAATTTTTTAAATTTTTTTATAAAAATTATACTTTAAAGTGTATTTATATTAGGTGTGTCTAAAAATTAAAAAAAAAATTGCTTAAAATATTAAAAAAAATCAATAAAAAAATATGAAAAATAAAAAAATAGAATTTTTTAAAAAATTGGAAACAAACATATTGAATTTTTTTTTTTAAATCCTACAACAAATTACTTGGGGGTGAAATTAATCTTCACAAAAAATAATTACTCCTCACTCACATGCAATATAGCGTGCGGTGGTTGCTCCAACGTGCAGCCAGTGACATGGCGGTCACTGATTGGCCACCAGATTCGATTTTTTTGATCTTCAACGGCCAGATCTTCGCAACGGCATGCCCATGTGACTGACTTTTGAAAGAAAGAAAACGAGAAAGCTTTATTTGGTCTAGGCGCAGGGGACAACTTATAATTTTATGTTTTACGATTGAGAATATAAGAGGTATAATAATTTATAATTGATAAGGAGTATCATTTTGTTTAGTTTTGGTTTTCAAAAAATAGTTTTTAGAATTTTTTTTATTTTATTTTTCATATTTTAATATTTTAATAAATTTTTTTAATATTTTAAGTATTTTTTTTTTAATTTTTAGATATACCGAACATAAATACACTTGAAAAATATAATATTTATGAAAAAAATTTAAAAAATACACTATATGCCAAAAAATACAAAAAAATAAAAAATTCAGTATATTTTTCATATTTTTGTATATTTATTAATTTTTTAAAACATTGTTTCACAAATACTTTACTATTTAGATATATCTAAGTAATGTGTATCTAACAAAATTAAAAAATTACTTAAAATTTAAAAAATATTCACTAAAAATAAAAAAAAATGAAAAACAAAAAAACAATTTTCAAAAAACACATTATTATTATTATTATTATTATTTTTTAAGAAAGACTCACTTTAGTATTTATTCCCTGTCACCGTTAACGGAGTCAGGACCACACACACCCGCACATCACATTCCCAACTATAACCGCCAAAACAAATCTCAGCCCTCCGATCAACCCCATCAACATCCCTTCTCTTCTCCCTCAAAACCTCTCAACCAATTTTTACAAAAGCTCAGGTTCAGATACATATACGTGTGATGGTTCATACAGGGGACTACATGAGAGAATGCAAGAAAGTTGGAGAAATTGCAGTGGTGGAGCTCCGATGTGAATGTGATAGAGTACTCACTACGAGAGCTATGGAGTCTTCGAGCTCTTCTTCTTCTGCAGGAGGATCATTGAAGAGAAGAAAATTGGTGTCCAACTCTGATGATGATCAGCTCGTGAGCAGCAATTCGCCGGAGATCTTGGTGTCGCCGGCCGTGGAGGATTCAGGTTGTGTTCTGCTGTCTCGGTGCTCGAGCACTGAGTCGAGCCAGTTTGTGAAACATGAATTGAGATCTGTAGATCTGAAGGTAAATGGAATTTGAATTTGAAATTTGCGGTTTTCGTTTTCCAAGCTTTAATTACTCATTTTTTTTTAATCGTACATTTGAAGGTTGAACTTGAAGCACACGCCAACAGCGGTTTCGAAAACGAGATTTCAACGCTCGTTAGCTGTAGATTCAGGTAAACCTTTTACTTTCTCCTTTAATTCACTTTTAATTCTATCATTTAAGTCGGTTCTCTTCAATTCTCTTCAATTCCACGAAACTGAAACGAAACTATCTTCGATTCTTCGTCTTCATCTTCTCTTTGTAAATTTTTATGCGAATATAAGTTTATACATATATATATATTTCATTGTTCGTTCTATAATTCGCACGGTACTTGCTAATTTGTTCTTCGCAGTAGAGAGACGACTCCGTCAAGCGACGAGATGGAGTCTTCAACAGCAACGAAGCGATCCACGGCGAGTCTCCGGCGGAAACATCCAGAGGCGAAGATGCCGGCGGCGGCGGAGATCGAGGAGTTCTTTTCGGCGGCGGAGAAGTACGAGCAAAAGCGATTCGTAGACAAGTAAGTGTGCGCATGGTAACCTAGATTATCACCCCAACCAGAACCACACACCACAATCCTAATCAGAGAACAATTACTGTTTTGGATTCAGGTACAACTACGATGTAGTGAAGGACGTTCCATTGGAGGGTCGGTACCAGTGGGTTCGATTAAAGCCATGATGATGATCAACCAGAAAAAGAGAAGTGAAATTGAGGACAGTTTTGAAAGTGACACGAGAGGACCCAGCAAAAGAAAGGAAAAAAGAACACCAAAGGCAGCTTTATTCTTGCAGGAAAGTAGTCTTTAGTTGTATTTACAGCTTTTCTATATATCTATGTGTAAGAAGCTCTTCGATTGAGGTGTACCACATTCAGAGAAGCTTCTTCTGGGATATATATATATATATATATGAACCATCTTCAATGAAAATTTACAAATTTTGAGATATATATTCTTCTCTCTCTTATCTCTCTCATTCATTGTTGGAGGCAGCAATTTTACGCCAAGCAGATTCTTAGTTTGAAATTGAAAAGTGCAATTTGTGAAAAAAAAAAAAAACAGGGATGCATACAAATTAGTGCGCCAATACACCTATTTGATAATTTCTGCATAGGCGAGGCTCACGTTGCTTAGGTATTATGTGGGTCTCACTTTTTTGTGATTTTTTCTTTCTATAAAGATGAAACTCTCCGTATTTTGTTTGAATTTGATGGGGATGTTTTCAGATTTGTCACCTTTCTTTGTCACTTGAGCCCATTTTTGCAATATTCTCTTTTCTTAATATGTAAAATGGACAATTTCATTTGGAAGTCCTCACGAAAGTGTGGAAATGTCTTTTCAAATTTTTTTTAGTAACACTATTAGTCTTTTTAACTCTAATCTAAAGGTAGAAAAAGAATTTAGAATATAAGAACAAAAGAGAGCGTAGGATTTGATTATCTTTGTAAATCATGGACTTGCATTGTGATTGAAGATGAATTATATTTTATAGAAAAAAAGGGCATAAAATTTATATTTTAAAAAAAAATTCTCCAAAATGGCATGATAGTGAATATAAAATTATGAGTTACAATAATGAATATTTTTGTTGATTTTCTAAAAACCTTTTTTTGTGAATCAAAAACTTTTCATTTTTTTTTTTTCAAAGTGGAAGTTAGTACCTCAAAATTAGAACTATGTTTACGATTGTTATGATTTTCAACCGTAACAAAAGATTGTCATCTTTCCTCAATTACAAATATATAAAAAAATTAAGATAATAAATCACAAGTGCAGAGAGGTTGCTCAAGCTTCAACCCCTGCCAATTTAGCACAAAATCAAAGCTGCAATGTTATGAGTGTTGTCCAGTACTTGTCAATATCGACAATACTCAACAGATGGGAGCCAAGGGCATTGTGATAAATAAAGAAGCAGATACATGCATGTTGTTGTCTAGGTTGAGACACTTGTGTTTGGTCCGGGGATTTGGAGAGGGATTTGGAAAGAAAAAGGAAAAAGGTGTGTGAAACTAGGGGTTGTTTTGGAAAGTTGGTAAAAAGCTGGCATTTGATTTTTTATCAAGCTTTTTGGCTTTTTTAGAAGTGATTTGGGAAGTTGGTAAAAAGCTGGCTTTTTGCCTTTTAGTTTAATATTTATTTATGGTGTCAAATCAAATTAAAATGACCAAAATACCTTTACTCAACATAAAAGATTTATTTTTTTATTTTTTTTTCATAGGCCCTAATTTGTAATTTTACAGTTGCGTTTTTGGCACTTGCCAAATGACTTTTCTGGCATTTTTGGCAGCCACGTTTTTGGATATTTTATCCAAAAACGTAACTTTTTACCATGTTCCCAAAATGGCACTAGGTGAAATATAGGTATGGTTTAATTCACATTTCACCCTTTTTCCATTTATCTTTCCAAATCCCTCCTCAAATCCCGAAATCAAACACAGCATTAGAGAAACTAGCCTTTGCTCTTACCCAGGCCCATGTGAGGTTCCAACTCTGAACTTAAAAAGAAATGAAAAAAAAAAAAAAAAAAAAAAAAAAAAAAAAAAAGGCTAAAGCAGACAATGAATATATATGCAGCACCAGTATTTATGTGTATTCATTTTATATACAACAAAAAAAGAAAGAGGAGCGAACGTGCTGTGATGGTCTCCTGATGACTAGCAATTGCTTTGGATCTGATGCTCATATTTTTAAAAGATGAAAGAGAGATTTTACTCTGAGATTAAGGGAGAATGTTTACTTATTAATGGAGGTTTTACCTCGATTTAAACGTTTTTTCTTATAGTCTTCTCTCTTTACGAAACTGATTTCTATGCTAATTTTGGTCATTTTAAAAAAAAAAAAAATTACAAAGACAGAGAAATAGTTTGGTTGAGTTTTTTGGATTAAGTTTTTTAAAAATTGAGTTTTTTGATTTTCGTATTTTTTTATTTTTAGTGAATATTTTTAAAATTTTAAACATTTTTTTTACTTTTTTAAATGCACCTTATTTAGATGCACCTTATTTAGATGTATCTAAAAAGTAAAAAATTTGAGAAAAAATATTTTAAAAAATTAATAAATACATAAAAATATAAAAAAATGTACTGAATTCTCGTATTTTTTTATATTTTTAGTATTTAGTGAATTTTTAAAAAGTTTTTTTCACATTTTTTTTACTTTTTAGGTATATTTATGTTAGGCATGTCTAAAAAGTAAAAAAAATTGCTTAAAATATTAAAAAAATTCAGTAAAAACAAAAAAATACGGAAAATAATAAAGTAAAAAAATTGTTTAAAATATTAAAAAAATTCAATAAAAACAAAAAAATACAGAAAATAATAAAGTAAAATTTTCTGAAATTTTTTTTTAAAAAACTCTAACCAAGCATTACGTGGTGTTTTTTTTTTTTTGCTTTTTTCTTTTTATTCCGTTTATTTTTAGAATCAAAGATTCTCTACAATAGATTTTTCTACGATGATTTTGTTATCATAATTTAATGATCTTACTTTAAAGTTGAAAGACGTTTTAGAAAGTCTCATTTTAATGTTATTTTACTTGGATTTTGAATTCGAATAGTTAAATTACATATTTTGTTGACAAAAAATTATTGTGGGAAAACCATAACCTAGAGGGTCTCATCTTTATTTTTGTGATGAGTTCACATGACTTACAGTTAAGCATGCTGTTTCACAATTAAAATAGGATGACAATGGGATCAAATTTTTATATGCTTTTATAAAGAGACTACTATACAAAAGCCTGTACCATATTTATCATTCTTTTTTTGCCATTAGCTCTTAAAATAAATGAATCTGAACTACTAATTTGATTCATAATCAACACCATCGTGATTCATAAGCCGTAATTTGTTTACAAATATGTTATTTTAGTAATTTTTTAACATTTTATAAAAATATGTATAGTAAAGTAGAGAGTAATGTGATAATTTTATAATGACTTTTTGACTAAAATTGAAAGTTACCAAATGATTAAAACAATTATTTCAAATAATAATGTGGTATAAGAAAACAATACTGAAGTTATAACTAAAGCCTCATTTGGGAACATGTTATTTTAATAATTTTTTAATTTTTTACGAAAAGATGTACATAAAAATAAATAGAATGATGTGATAATTTATAGTGACTTTTTAACTTTCTAACTAAAATGTATAGTTAACAAACAAAGCCCAAATACCATGCAATTAAATAGACTTTCAAATATTCGTTCTAGCTATCCAAATATGAGTTAACTTGAACCTGATTGGATTGAATTGGGCAGGAGATAGCCTATACTATTAGAAAAAAAATAATGATACACACCTTAAAAATGAATGCTTAATGCAGAATTTTTTTACTTTTTTATGCCATTCATGTATTAATATAACACGTATATTATTATATAAAGTTAATACTTGTAGTGTTTGATAAGTTAATTCAATATTTAAAATTGAATGTGTTAATCATATTATTTAATTTTGAGGATGTCTAAAATATTATTTGTAAATATCTGAATTTTTTAATATATATATTATTTGACACAAAATATTATCTGTTTAAAATATACATATATATATATATATGTTAAATATTATTTAAATAAAAATATTTTTGAAAACTCTACTATTCACTTTTTGAAAAATTAGGCTGATCACTATTTACTTTTTGATAAAATTAAAATTGTTTAATTATGTTGATTGAGTTGTATTATTTTGACAAATTTGATATTAATGGGTTGTCTTCTTTTGACAAATTGATATGGAGTGGAAGGTTATATTTAATTTAAAATCTCTACAATATATACAGAAAAAGAGTATATATGATCAGATCTATTATAAATATTACTTAAAGAGATTTTACTATATATGCAAATATTTGATTAGAATATTATATAGAATGCATATAATATAAATAGAATACATCACGTGAGTAATTAAATTTTTTACACTACATTGATTATATCATATTATAATAAAAACAAGAAGAAAAAGATGGAGTTATATATTACAATAAAACAAGATGGAGCAAATTATTTGCTTGTGTTTTGTCAAGTTTATATGTGGATCATAAGCTGGTTTTTTGGCTTATTACGAAAAAAAATGTATATAAAGTTGCTTGTGTTTTGTCAAGTTTATATGTGGATCATAAGCTGATTTTTTGGCTTATTACGAAAAAAAATGTATATAAAGTAGAGAGGTTTATATACATTTTTTTTCGTAATAAGCCAAAAAACCAGCTTATGATCCACATATAAACTTGACAAAACACAACCTACAGGTAACACCAAATAAAAGTATAACAATATTAATATTATGAAGCATTAAGTGTTTTATAGTCTTGAATCATACTAATATTTTAAATGTTAAAGAATCATACCAGTTGATAAGAATTTTATTCAAGAACCATCCTGGGACTAAAAAAAATTGCGATGTCAACACTTTTAAGGTTGTTGAACCTCTTTTAAAATTATAAAAATAAAAAACAAAAAACTCTTGTGACAAAATAAAAAATTCAGTATCTCACCAAAAAAGAAAAAAGAAAAAAGAAAGAAAAATAAGCATTTCTGTGAGAAAAAGACATTACCAAAAAGAAGAATATATCAAAATAATCTAGCGAATGACCTGTACCTAAGGCACTTCCCAACCAAAATGAAGCGTAAATTATCAACATCTGATATTTCTTAAACTCATTGTTAGCCTCACACTCCATTTTTAATCCTCAAAGATTCAATTTTCCCAAGAAAATCAAATTAAGGATATTAATGCAACAAAGTTCACTCTAAATATTCACCCAAAAAAAAGTTCATTCTAAATGGTTAACAACAAAGTCCAAAACAAAGAATAAAAATAAAATAAAATAAAAAAAAAGAAAAGAAAAGCAAGCAGACAGATACAAATCTGAATAAAGGAGCTCTCATATGATCTAAACAACAATGCTAGGAATACAGATGTTTAAAAACAAACCCAAAATAGAATTGTAAAC